TTTTTACATGTTATAGATTAGAGTTTTTTTTTTTTGCATATCAACAAATGAGTATTTTTTTTACATGATATAAAAAAGTATTTTTTTCATTTCAACAAAAAAAAGTACTTTCTTTTCATAGAAAAGTATTTTCTTTCATTTCAACAAAAAAAATATTTTCTTTTCATGATGTGAAAAAAGTATTTTTTTTTTTTCATTTCAAGAAAAGCCTTACACAAAGGGCTCAGAGGCGAAGCCAGGATTTCAAGGTTATGGGTTCGGGATCCTAACACTTTTAAATTACTGAGTTCTAAATTAATAAAAGTTTAAGACAAATATATAATTTGAACCAAAGTTGGGTTCGGCTGAACCCGTAGCCGACACTATGGCTCCGCTTCTTACTGTATGATGTGATATTCTAACAAGCAAGGGATTCACCAAAATTGAACTTTGTCATTTATATTAGAGATCAATTACTCTTGAGGAAGGTCTATAAATATGGTCATTCCACAAGCAAAGGATTCACCAAAATATAACCTACAAAAGTAGTGCAACATGTCTAGCAGCATTTCTCCAATCAAGTTTGCTTTCTTCATTATGTTCTTCAGTTCAAGTATAAGTCGAAACATCTCTCTTTATAGAAATTTAAAATACAAATAGACTTACAGAAATATGCATGCATATGTTCCTTCTTGTAATTATATACTACTACTACTAATTGATTTGTTTGTGGTCATAATGTGCAGTTAATTTACCATGGATTCAAGAGATGACAGTGATGGCTCATCGAGATTTGCCTCTAGAAATAGTTACGGTGGAAACAAAACTACTTTCCCTCACAGATATTGTTACTTGTGGGAAAGTTTGCTCATCTGATAGTGATTGTTCTGACGGCTGGGTTTGTAAGTCTTGCAAATATAGAGATTCAATCCCAGTACCTTTCTACGTGCCTGCTGGCTATTATTGTACTTAAAGATTTTCCCTATGTATAATTAAATTTATGAATGTGACGTGTGTGAAAGTGTGAGTATTATAATGTTTGTCAAATAATAAGATGTTTGTGTTATTTAAGAATTTCTGTATATTTTTCCTTTGAAACTTTATGTGTGTTGAGTGAGAAAGAAATAAATGGAGTTGGAATTAACCTTTGATGGTTTGTAACATGTAATATTAGCAATTCAGCTTGTGATTTACAGGCGTTTGTGATAAATATTTATTATTTCTCTATTGATGTATTTCTCTAATGACTTCTTTACTTTATCAAACCAAATATGTAAGTATATAAAGTATAAAAACTGAAACTTTGAATAGACGACTCCATATATTTAAAAAGAAAAAAAAAAGAGTTAATCCATAAATTGCAGTATTTTGAAAAACATACGTTGTATAGAAACATAAACTGAATGGAACCCATTTCAGAAAAACTATATATAAGTACAACAATGGCAATTATTGAGTATAAAAATTGCAACTTCTAATTGTGAAACTACGTAATAATAAAAGAGAAAAAGAAATTGAACAATGGTGGCTTGTTTGAATTGCCATTTGAATAACTTCTTTCCAGCTTACTCTTCCAAGTCATGATGACGATGGTAATTGATCCAATACCTATAGCTACAAAAAAAAGAATCTATTTTCATAAATCACACCACACAAATATAATGAAAGATGTAAAAATAATTAAAGAAGTTATAATTAAACCTGAAGAGTTTCATGAATGGTATTGAGATGTTCACTGAGTGCTCGCACTTTTGCTGCTTTTCCCATTTTTTATTTTCATTCTCCTAAAAGTTAAATCCGCTACACTATTTGGAGAAGAGTTGAGGCTAGCTGTACAGGATTGAGTTTTATTATTAACCGGTGAATGCTTTAAACGAAAAGTCGCAAGATACACTACAAGAAAAAAGGCTTTTAGTGGCTACAACATTTGCCACATAAAGTTTAATTGTTGCCGCAGAATACCTGTAACGACCCGACCGGTCGTTTTGCATTTTGGAACCCCGTTCCCTTAAATAAGACTTCCCGCACTTGCTTATGCTAATTTATGACTAGCGGGGATGAGTGGTTCGGAAGTTAGAAGAGTTTTGAGCAAGAATAAGTCTTGTTGCTTCTTTAAGTTTCTTTAAAAAGGCCAAGTTTGACTTCGGTCAATATTTTGGGAAAACGGACCCAGAATCGTGATTTGACAATTTCTGAGGGTCCGTGGGAAAATATGGGACCTGGGCGTATGCC